GTTTTTTTTTTTTTTGCAGTGTGGACTTGCAGTATATCTGTCCTATTACCTACTGTACATCATGTCTAACGGTACTCCTGAAATCCTGTTAATATTGGAAAACCAAATACACAATAGTACAACACACGGCAACACAAATAAGCATCTTATTTATTATTGCTTATGGCTGTGATGCAGCCATGTATGCTGAATTTGCCATTTACCAAAGATAAAGGGATATTATGACAGATCAGAGAATGTTTAAAGGTAATTTTTATTTATTAATTTTTTTTCCCTCAGTGTCCTCCTGGTTTGAGCCCAATGAAGGATGGCAGCGGTTGCTATGACCACCACATTGGCATTGACTGCTCTGACGGCTTTAATGGGGGCTGTGAACAGCTGTGCCTTCAGCAGCTGGCACCTCTGGAGGAGGACCCTACTCTCTACAACATCCTGATGTTCTGCGGGTGAGATTACACACTTTATACATGCTTAAAGACTATATGATAACTAGATCTGGACATGTTAACAGGGCTTTTTTTTTCATGATCACAGTCATACTTTTTTTTTTTTTTAAACAGCAGGGTATGTGCTTTGTATGTGTATGTGTTTTTTTGCTACCTGCTATTTTTGAAGACTGAATGTCTGCTGTTTTCTTTTGAATAATGTCCTGAAATTCACAGTAAGTGCATTATGGTTAGTTCAAATGATTATTCATGCAGTTCACAACACCTTACAGCAACTTTTTTTTCCACATTCTTTTTTAGTCTGCAGTGGCAGTTTGTGTCTGAGTGTGAATTGTCAAAATGTTTACCTGTTCCCACATTTCTGTCTATATGTTTATTTAAATTGAGTGTGAACTTGGCTTCAAATTAAAAACTGGCAAACCTGAACTTGTTGAAACATGCTAATATCATCACACATTCACCTGCAAAAAAATGTGGTTGGTAAGATATGCAAGCTGAATTTACATGTTCTTTTTCTGTAGCTTGCTAAAAAATATTTGTCACAAAAAATTAAAAATTAAAAATAATAATAATTGCAGTTTGTAACATTTTTCAAGTTTGGGGTCAGATAAAAAAAAAAAGGAAAAAAAAAAGATTTTTTAATGTTTTCGAAAGTCTCTTATGCTGACCAAGGCTGCATTTATTTGATCAAAAATACAGTAAAATCAGTAATATTGTCAAATATTATAATTTCAAGCAACTGTTTTCTATTTTATATATTTTTTTTAAAACATAATTTATTCTTGAGATGGTAAAGCTGAATTTTCAGCAGCCATTACTACAGTCTTCAGTAGTAGTCACATGATCCTTCAGAAATCATTATTAATATGCAGATTTGATGCTCCAGAAACATTTCCTATTGTTATCAATGTTTAAAACAGTTGTGCTGTTTATCAGTTTTGTACAACTGTGATACTTTTTTTCAGGATTCTTTAATGAATAGACAGATCAAAAGAACAGCATTTATTTGAAATGGAAAGATTTTATTTATTTATTTTTTTTTCTATTTAAAAGTTTTTACTGTCACTTTTGATCCATTCTATGCATCCTTGCTGAATAAAAGTATTAATTTCTTCCTTCTTTAAAAAAAAAAAGTATATATTATTATTTTTATGAGAACTCAACTGAAATGCCATTTCTCTGTCCTGTCATGTCTTGGTGGAATTGCTGTTACTCTGACATGACATCACATGCATCACACAACATTAACCATTCCTTGAACTTCCAAACTTTTATGTGCCAGCTGTATTGAATATGACCCATGCAGAATAAATAGCCATCTTCTTGCATCTTCTTTCCTGCTAACACAACCTTTTTCCTGACCTATTCAGAGTCTCAGAGATCATTCGCTGTTATAGGCATGTCGCTTCGACTAAAGTTGGCAAATGCGCATAATTTTCTTTTTCTTTGGAGATCCTAATAATGTGACAGGCAATCTGAAGCCACTTAAATCATTGCCTGTGTTACGGATGTGCAACCGAGAGGATGTGTCTCACCTACGCTGATGACAGCTTCCTGTAAAACAGTAGTGTGTTACCAAGAGAAGTGAGACTGAGCGTTTATGCCCTGACACCTCTTTCTCTCTGTTGCTCGTGTAGTACAGAGCAGACGTGACAGCTTAGTTTCAAAGTCCCATAAATATAAACGACTCCTGTGAGCTGTCACACTATTAGAATGATACTGTTTTGCAGTAAATAAAAAGAATTGCCAGTCTTAAATCCATGACAGATGCTTTGCTGTGAGATCATTACCCCTGGGTAGTTTTGAATGCCGAACTAGTTCTTCACATTGCTCTGTTTCATTAAGCAATGTCTTTATGATTTGGGACCAACCCCCCCCCCCCCAATTATGTTGAATTCATAACAATATGAATTCAAAACGCTATAAATGCTCATGCATTCATAATGTACACATTGATGCCTTACATAATATTTTGTGTAATGTGATAACATCTTTTCATTTAACTGCAATTGCAATATGAAACCATTTTTTTTACTCAGGAATTGCTAGTAAATTTCACAAATAATAACAAATAAATGGCAAGTGACTCACTGAATTAAATGTGAAATTTTGAAATAGAAATACTTAAATAGTATAGTAAAGCATATTCCAATAATTTTAAGTTTTATTTACAACTTTGAAAAATCATGTTTGTTACAGTGTGCATTTTAATGGTTCCCTGTTCCTGGTAAGATGTTTAAAGATACATATTTGTTCATTTAAAAAGTTAAATTTTTATACTTGTTTTCAGTTGATAACTGATTCCATTAATTCTTTGATTGTAGTATCCATTATAGTCCATATAAAATGCATAATAAATAAACATGATTTCATTCTTATTTCTACTTTTAAACAAAATTATGGTAAATCATCCATCACCAGTACTTTGCATAGTCAAGTCAATGAACGTAACCTACTTTATTGGCAGTGTACTGTATACTGGATGTTAGAAGCAGCTAAAATCATAATAATAAGATAATTTTGATTTGACATTTGTTGGTCACTGCACAATTCCCATATTCTCATTTGTATGATTTCATAGTTTTTGATGACTTTACTATTATTCTAAAATTATAAATAAAGAAAAGTATCATAAGGAATAATATCTTTGGAATAATCTTACTTTGGCAGACATCTACTCTTCTTTCTTCTCTTCCTTTAGCTCATATCTTTTTCTCATTGCCATATGTTTGTAGATGTATTGAAGATTATAAGAGAGGAGCAGACGGTCGCTCATGTCAGCCGCTGTCAGAAGCCTGCACTGAGGGAGTGGACTGCGGGGACACAGCTGACATCCCGGCCAACCAGACTGTGTTTGGGGACCTCTTCTACGGCTACAATAACCACACCAAAGAGATTACATCAGGACAGATCCTTAAGGCTTCCTTCAGGTGAACATTTACTAAGTGCTTGATTTTACCAGTGCTAAGGGGTCACAGATGACTTATTTTCACCCATTTTTAATAGCAATATTGTGCTGATAATGTGAAATGTGGTGTTGAATTTTCTCTTTACCTTTCTCTTTGATGTATTAAATCAGAAGTTCGTATGTCCAGTTCGGAAATATGAATTATTCGCCACTGGAGCCTGTACAGTATGTCACAGTGATCTTAACAGGCTAAAGTGGTGTTCTTTAGCTTGTTTGGTTAGTGGAGTTAACTGTTAATCATAACACATATCATCCACTGGCTTATTTTATTAAATTGTATTTTAGAGCTTTTGCCAGTTATATAGACAGTAGAGTAGTGAGGAGACAGGATATGATAAGGAAAAGAGAGAAGGATAGGATCAGGAAATTACAAGTCGTAGCATGTGCACTTCCCGCCCCGGCACGTCTCTGACTGAAAGTGGCATATGGCTTTTCTAAAATGGTGGGAATACTAATCTGATAAAACTCTAATACTGAACAAAAATTGTATTTATTAATAATCACTATACACAATTTAGATGTAACATTTATTATGCAGTATGCCTTATACATATATTTAAATATGTGCCAGCACAAGAAGATGGCCTTAACTAAGCGATTCTTGGTTTGTGCAAAGTTTCTTTTTCACCTACTAAATGTTTTAGGGAATTGTTGTTATTTGTTGTTGGAACTGCAAGCATTCTTTCTAATGCTGCTTTGGAACAATATCTATTGTGCTAACAAACAAAGTGAATTGAATTCTTTCCACCAAGTATTTCACTTCGTAAGCCTGTAACTCTTAATGCAGAATTATTTATTTATTTATTTAGCCAAGCAACCCTGTGCATAAATACTGTATATAATTCATAATCTAGAATTATTTATTTATTTAGCCAAGCAACCTAGTGCATAAATATATAATTCATCTGAAGGTATATAATTCATCATACATATATCATTCATATAATCCCACATAGGCCAACAAACAGTTTATAATTTAGTAAAGTTAAAGGGATACTTCACCCAAAAATGAAAATTATGTCACCATTTACTCACCCTCATGTTGTTCCAAACCTGTGTGCACTTCTTTCTTTTGAAAAATAAATAAATAAATAAATAGACTTTTCTTGTATGGCCAAAAAACAAAACAGAACTTGTTATTTTTTTTGCTTCACTATTGATAGCATAAACTGTTTGTCCAGTGTAGTCTGCTGTATTCACAGTATTTGTCTGAAATATAGTTCTGTAGTTCTTAAATGCACTGCAGTCACACTATCCAATCATCAAGGCTAATTTAATAAAAGCGCAATTCCTGTGAAATACAGCACAGCAGAATTTCTATCTAGTTACACACAAAGACACTTTAAAGGTTCCTCTAATTAAAAGAGCAATGTGTTGTGCACTGTGGTCAGCTCAACCTAAAGGTCACCATGCAAAGTCATTGACGGCCCTTAAATTAAACACGGACACTTACAGACGCAGTGTCCTGCAGCAGTTTATCCATTTACTCCACATGATTTGATTGGTGCAGTATGGGAGGTGGGGGACCTGACTGATGGAGAAATAGTGGGAGGAGAGTTAATATTATCAAGAAGCCAAATCTCAAAAGCTCTGATCTCATTTGGAGGCACCCGGAGAGACGTTGGGTTTAGACAGCCTTTGAAAAGCACAACTGGCCCTCATGCTTCAGGATTTACTCTCTGTGCAGTTCTCTTCACCTTTTGAGAGGCCTGGGCCTAATGCAAGCTCTAATTATGTGGAATGGCGAGGAGCAAATTAAAAGTGACCATAAGCAAGTTTGGTTTAATGGGGCTTAATTTGGCCAGCTAAAGCTACTAGATCTTCAGTTGAACAAAAGGAGGATACGGCATGTTCATTAATCCTTCATAGAATATTGCAGGGCTTCGACAATTAATTTCAGACCCGAGGAAATAGTTGAAATGCTGGTGCTCGGGAGCAGCAGCGGCAGGAAATGAAATGTTGTTTGATGAATTCAATAAGAATAAATAGTATTCGCTAATATTGCCATTTATTTGTATGCAGTGTTTCTGTTGTTTTAGGGCCTGATTCATTAAAGAAAATATGCAAAAATATGCAAATCACAGAATATGTGCTGAACACCCCAACACAATTTGCACACAAATTGGTTGTGAATGTTCAGATATGGAGGATTAAGCAGACTTCTACAATCTGGTTCCTGACTCGACACTTTAAAATACAGAAAGTATGCTTGACTACATACTGTACATTACTATTTCAGTTTGAGTTCAGTACGTTATTATTGTTATTTATTTATTCATTTATTTTAAGTGATTAATGCATTTATTCAGCTAGGAAACAATCAATTGGTCAAAAGTGACAGTAAAGACATTCATCTTATTTTACAAAATTTTACAAAAGATTTTCATTTCAAATAAATACTGCTCTTTTGAACTTTCGATTCATCAATGAAACTGAAATGTATCACTGTTTCCACAAAAATATTAAGCTCTACAACTGTTTTAGACTGTGATAATATAAAGAAAGGTTTCTTGAGCACCAAATCAACATAGTAGTATAGATTCTGAGGGATCTGAAGGATCTTTGTGACACTGAATACCAGAAATTCAGCTTTACCTTCGCAGGAATAAATTACATGTCAAAATACATAAAAAAAAGAAAAACAGTTATTTTAGGTTGTAATACTATTTCACATTATTTCTGCTCTTACTGTATTTTTGATCAAATAAATGCAACATCTTTCTTTCAAAAACATTAGAAAAATATTACCGATCCTAAACTTTTGAACAGTAGTGTATATGCCAAGTTATAATGCCCTATTTTAATCTTTCGATTATCTTTTTTCAAAAGAAATTATTTTAACACCTGTTTTGCTGCTTTGCAGTAGTAGCACAAATATGATTTTCTGCATATTGTTTATAATAAGAAGGGTATATGCACTGAAAATAAAGACAGTGACTTTAAATATTAGAGTTCAATTGTAACATATTTAGTGCCATGTTTAATGGATTTTGAGTGCCAAGACAAAAGTTTTTTTTTTTCTCCGGGCGAAAATACTACATGCAGAACTGTTTAATGAATTCACCCAGAGTCTTCTGTCAAAGAGAAAGTGAGATGTAAAATGGCAAATTATTTATATTTTCATATTACATCAACTCATATGCATGCAATGTACACTCATAAATTCAGGAGGAATTAAACATATACTCTGATTCATTTCTTTCCATAATGATGCAACAGGGAAAAGAGCAAGCAACTGCCAGATAAAACCCATCCAGAGGTTGAAGTTGTTTATTATTCTGTTTTAAACTTACACAAGGCCGTGTGTTTCCTTTGGCGCTTCACCAAAAGTTACTACCCACAAGTCTGGGTTGTCACACAGCAGCTGCTTTTACGATCTGACTCATATCTGAAAGGCATGGTTACATTTTCATGCTGTTTAATCCTGAACGTGAGGTGCAACACATTTCCTGTGACAACCTGCCCAAAAGACAATGCAGAATGTATTAGCTCCTGTTTGATGCTTTTTAGGTTAATGGTGTTTTTAGACAGATGAACATGCCATTTTGAAAGCCCCGTATTGCAGCGAGGGTGTCAGATTTATTAAGCTTGCTTTTCAAAGCCGAGATAATCTGAACAATGAAGTGTTTGAAGTAAACAGTTTGAGATCATATTGAAAATTCTGACTATCAATTCAGTTCAATTTAGTGTTTTGGCAAAAGTCTCAATTTGGTGTCTATATAAAGCACACTTCATTCAAACATAAATATTATTTCATCATTTATTCATATTTCAGTGTTTTTTGTCCAAACAATGAAAGTCAGTGGGGTCCAGTATTGTTTGGAGCCCAGTGACTTTCAAAATATCTTTACTTTTGTTTTTGATAGAGACAATATTATCACCAACAAAACCTCTTTTTTTTAACCCTAAGCAGTCTTCTAGCTTGTATTTGAATCTTTTTCTCCCCCATGTTTCCTTTTTTAATGCTAACGCATATCTCTATATCTGTTAAACACACAGATATTATAACAGTGAAAGAATTTGTCCATTCCAGTCAGTTGCATCTCAAAATACCAGTCTGTTGTGCTTGCCAATTGTCAGCGTAATTTAGCTTTTAGTTCATCCTAGTTTGGTACCGTGTATTTGGAAGCCAACTGCATGTTCATGCTCATCATTTTAATTCTACATAGTCTTTTGAGATGTAGCATCTGGCATGTTGCAAGCCGAATCGGCACCTCCCCAAGCAGTAATTGACATGTTACAGTGCCATTTACAAAAATACATTAGTGTTATTTTTGTGCCAATTTTATGATTGCCACAAAAATGTATCTGTATTTGTATATTCTCTCTTTCTTTCTCTCTAATAATAACAGAAATTTGGTAAATTTGTGAACATTCGTTTAGTATTCTGAGCTTTAAATCTAAGCACCTCCATTCAGTGTTAATGGAAAAGTACAAATTAAGATGACAGGTAAAGTTTGTCAAAACAAACCTAGATTTTGGCTTGCTGCCCTAGTGAAAAATAAATATACTTAAATGTATTTGAAATACATTTATTTCATGCTAAGTATACTAAACATACATTTTCACATTTATGTACTTAATAAAAATGCCCTGCAATTGTACTTTTAGTATACTAAACTGGTAAAGTCTGCTAAATTGGAAAAACAAATTTTGTACTTAAAGGGTTAGTTCACCCAAAAATAAAAATTATGCTGCGTTTTACTCGCCCCCGATGCATCCTAGGTGTATATAACTTTCTTCTTTCAGACGAATCCAGTCGGAGTTATATTAAAAATTGTCTTTGATCTTTCAAGATCTATCGTTGTACTCAGCGGGTGTTGCATTCCTTCTGTCCAAAAGACGTAAAATAAAAAGCACCCTTCCACAAAAAAAAGTGTCTCACACGGCTCCGGGGGGTGAACAAAGGCCTCCTATAGCGAATCGATGCGTTTTTGTAAGAAAAATATCCATATTCAAAACGTAA